ATTTTCGTTTATGTTTCAACCGCTCATTAGATGATAAATAATAAGCAAAACACTTCCGAATGAGATGCATACCATAGAACCATTCTCCGTATTTGACAACATCGATATATAAACAAAAATGCTGAATAATGACATATGTTACCTTTAGATTTTTATATACAAACCCTCTTGTATTTCGAAGATGATCGATAAGACGACCAGGAGTTCCAACCAACAAATTTACCCCCTTTACAATACGTTCTGCTTCTGGTCTTCTAGGCGCACCACCAATAACTAATCCAAGTGTCTGTGAGTGATATTTGAGAAGGTTCTTTGCCACAGCGTGGGTCTGAATCATTTAAATGGTGAATCAGTTTAGTAAAACATAAAGGACATAAAAAGAACCCGAGAATATAATGAAACAAATGCAGAATGAAACATAGATAAGGATTCACCTGCTCTGCAAGCTCTCTTGTTGGGCAAATAACCACAACACCAGTAGCATTACGCGGAGCAAAGCGCGTGTGATATAACAACTCCACAGCCGATATTAGAAAAGCAAGAGTTTTACCAGAACCTGTCCTGGCGGCTCCAAGAATATCTTTTCCTTCCAGAAATGGAGGAATTGCACTGCCTTGAATCTGCATAGACATTTAAGGTACATTAAACAGTTTGCGGGTATTCCATAACCATCCATCAGAAGAGTAATAACGGGGAAATATCTATTTAAGTTTGCAGGGCATAACAACCAAAAGTCGCACTTATTATTTGTATCACATAAGGATTTCACAGGAGAGGGGAAAAAAAAGCCCTTTCTGCAATGGCTCAGTTACCACACTACAAGTACACCAGACAAAAATATTTCCATCAAGTGCTTAAGAACAACAAAATAGTTCTTGAAAACTTGCAATCATAACTACACATGTCCATCTAGCCTTCCTTCTTTTCCCCTTTGATAAAAAAAGTAACCCCATCTCGTTTTCCTCTTAGCCTTTTTCATCACTTACCTAGAGCATGGAAGTCTTAAAGAAAGATATCAGATTTAAAACAAAATGTTGATACAGAATTACTTCGCGCTGTACTCGGAACATCACTGATTCTAATTTGTTTCCAATCCAGCAAACCTAATAGAAAAATCACCAGCCTTTCTAGCTCATGTGAGAATTGCAGAATATTATATGACATCAAGTCCAACAACATAATCCTCAAAAGACTTGCAAGGACATAAAATGTAACTAATCGAACATATTGATCAAAAGGACCCAATAAGGTTTGAGAGTGATCAGAGATTTTAAACCATAAATAGTTAACTCTTAAAAACCAATTTTAATTCTAATACAACTTCCCAAGTCAAGAAACTTCATTTGTGAGAAAAGTAAGCACAAGCCACCATATGGGTCTGATTCATGATTGCCCTCTTAATATTTTCACAAAAAAGAAATGGGGAAAAAAAAAAAAAGCCAAGTTTCTTCCCTTGCCAATTTCTTAAAAATAAAAAAAATAAAAATTTAAAAAGTCTTCCTAAAGACCTAATCAAACAAATCAAACAAGGTATCATATAGAAAATACGTTTCTTAATCCCAATATAATAATCACAAACCTGAGCCATATGCTGAAATCCCATTTCCTTAATGGCCATCAAAGTAGGCTCAGACAATCCCAAAGAAGTGAAAGACTCCGTACTCATAATCTCATACCCAACACCACTACTCTTCACCTTCTTCTTCATCTCCTCCTCCTCCTCCTCCTCCTCCTCCTCTTCTTCCTCACCATTGCCTTATCCTTCGTCTCCTTCTCGTGGCTCCGGTTTCTCTCTGTTCAACTTCTTCTCCTTATTCTTCTTCTTGTCATTCTCATTATTCCCTTTCTTTTCATTTTCCTGTGCTTCATCTTCTTCTTCTCCTTGTCTGCTTTCATTGGGGTCGGGAGCCTCAGGCTCAGAGCGCTTGTTGGGTCTATTCCGCTTGCGCTTTCTCTTCTTGGCCTCGTTGGCGAGTCAGGAATGGCTATTATTTAGCTCTCAGACGTCGGCCATGGCGGCGGAATCTGTGTGAACTGAAAGAGGCAACGGAACATGCTATATCAGACAACTTAAGCAGATCACATGTTTTTGTACACTATGAATCAACCTTAAGCATACGAGGATTAATCATAGTCTACAAATGATCCAAAATCCAAATTCCAAAGCAGACAATCAAACAAATTTAGCACGGAATTTCTTTTTCTTGTTCCCCAAGTAAACTTGCTAACGAAATCCATGACAAAGGAAAGAGGACAAGGGGGTCTTCAAAAGGCAAAATAAAAACAGAAAAAAAAAAATTAAAAATAAAAGAAACAAAAATCTGACCAAAGAACCTCAAACACAACAATTAGCCCCCCCATCACATCATTACGATTCAAAACAATCAAAGAAAAATAAATTTTTCTAAAGCCTTCGATGGTATTCAAATGGGATTTTGGTAATTCCTTAATCCTTGTAAAATTAATTGTTATATACAAGTAACTTGTTCATTATTTGATCATTCATTTACCTTTTTTTTTTTTTTTTTTTTGATCTGGAGATGAAGTACAAGTATATTGAAGGGGAGATGGTGGCTTTGCTTTAGGAGCACACGGGACGGCAGGACGGTAAGGGTTTTTCTTTTAGGAAGTTTTTAACCGTAGATTGAAATTTTAACGGTTGGATTTACAAGTTTCGTGTTAAATAAGGATTTATTTTATAAATTTCCTTGAACTGATTACCTAATTTAGCTTGACCCCTCGACTTTAAAAAGGTTACGGTCGTGTTTGGAATTGATCCTGTTTTTATTTTTTATATTTTTTGAGAAAGAAAAAATGAAAATATTTTTAAAATGACGTTTGACACAATAAAGATAAAAAATAAAAATAAAAATGATTTTTTGATTTAGTATAAAATGAGAGAGAAATAAAAAACAATTTTTAGTCTTTTTTATTTTTTGTTTTTTTTTTCCTCTCTAGAGCAGAAAAAGAGAGAGATAGACATTAATGAGTTTTTAATATTGAAAATAATTTCTTGATAAAACTAACAAACGCATTTTCAAAAATGATTTCTGTCTAAAATTAAAAACGTTTTCATTTTCATTTTCATACAAAAAATAAAATTATTTTGAAACAAATTCTAAACACGCCCTATATTTCATTCTCAAACTATAATACCAACAGAATGAGTGTGTGATACTTGTTGAAATTTCATAAAATCATCCCGAACTATTGATTTTAAATCAACTTGTACCGCAACATAAATTATAAATTTCTCTATTCTCAAAACCGTCCCTTAGTCATTTTACCACTGAAATTTAAAAGCTGGTTGAACTTTAATAAACATCTTTTTTTTTCATCCATTTAACGCTGGCGTGGTAGTAAATTTAGAGAATATATTCTTATTTTCAATTAAGAAACACATCACTAATGAAAAACCCCTGAATCATTCTTCATATTAAATATAATAATTCCTTAAAAAATAAAAATGATGAGAAATTTCACATGTGGAAGAAAAATCCTTTCCCTTCCGGCAGCGAATCTCCAAGGTGGAAATTCCGATTTGGAACCTGAAACTCTATGGTTAGATATTTCTTACAGTGACTTTCAGGAGTGATTTGCAGGATATCAATTGAAGCCCGCAAAATCAAAGTTCTAGCACGAATATGAGCCTTCACGGTGATGAGGGAGAATTGCGACCGTACTTATTCACATATCAAATTATATTTTTTATAGGGTATTTTGAATAATTTTATATAGTTTAAAAAGTGAAATGAACACTTTTCAAAGTTTAGAGAGCTTGTTGAATTAGAGTACATGGTGCATTTAGAGCAAGGCTCCGTGTCATGATTCGGATCATAATTTTTAGTTCGTTACAGTGTTTTCTCTCACAAAAAACATACGTACACTGAAAATAATTTTAAATTCATGAATCAAACGTCTTTTAAATTCATGAACCAAACGTCTTCTAAGTAGTTTCCTGCTTACGGATGGATGTGGTATGAAAGGGTAGAAAAATGAATTAGATATGAGCGAAGGGGAGTGTTAAGAAAAGAAAACGTGAAGGATTTTTCTTCAAAGTTTATAGGGGTTGTTCTTTTGAAGTGTAACTTGAGTATAGTTTTTGAGTTGAATTTGAGTTATAACTTGAGTTGAAATTGTAACTTGAATAAAGCTGAGTAAAGTTGAATAAAGTTGAAACTTAAAAGAACGTAAACTTGAATAAAGTTGAAACTCGAGTTGTCTTTTTTTGAGTTTTTCGGACAAAAGAACATGCCCGTATGTTCGAAAAGAAAATTAATTTTTTTATTCCCTTATTTTCTATTACAAATAAATAAGGGAGGAAGGATTTAATTTTATTGATAAAATTGAAAAACCATTCATTTACTTGAAATTTTTTTATTTATAAATATTAAATCTCATTACTTGAATGGATCAGTCAAATTTTGTGACTTTAAAGTCAAAAACGCTTGTAAAAAAATCCAAGCCCATCAAATCTCTGCTCTATTTTTACATGCTAAACGCTAACATATAGTTTAGGATATATATATATATATATAGGATTTCTACGCGTGGCAATTCTATTCTTTATCCTGCTAAGTACATTACTAAATTACTCCTTCCCGCAATTCTAAGAATGAATACATTCAACCAAACAAAGATTTACTGATCAGCTAGTTTATAGAAACCATTACTTTTTTTTTTTTCTCTTTTTCTCGAGCACAAAGTGATCAAAGTTGATATTGATGATACATGGATTAAATAGATTTAAGCATAACAAACAATAACAAACAATTTGGACCATAAATTTCTGTCTTTTTTCAATTCATACAAGAAGCGAAATTATTGATTGTCACTTTAAACTTTTAAGACCTTGGACATACTAATAACATTAAAACAAAAAGATAAAAATAAACACATCACATCAATAATTATTAGGACGAGATTATTAATCATCTACTGGTATAAGTACGTAATGTAAATGGAATAAAAATGTTCATCGTCATTCATGTCCTTAAATATTAGGCCTTTGGAGCAAGACCAGCCTTGAGCTTCTGAATGGTGGCAACATCAGTCTTGAAGGAGACTGCCAGCACATTGTCATCAATGTTGGTGGCGAACAAAGTGCTGGGAAGCGACACGGTCCCGGCGCTGGCACTCCCGAACGCCGAGATCGCCGTCGCCGAATTCTCCGGGTCGGCGTTGAACTGATAGTGCACCAGCCCCTTGGGAAACACGAAAATGTCGCCGGTCTGCAGGAACTGAGTGTACAACTTGTTGGTCGTGTCGACGAAGCCCACTTCCAGAGTGCCGTCGATGAGGAAGAGGAGCTCGGCGGAGCGGGGATGAGTGTGCGGCGGGTTGGCGGTCACCGACGGGTACTGAAGGACAGCGTACGAGACGCTTTGCCCGTCTAGAGCCGGGAACTCAGCCTTGCTTACTTTTGTGACCGTGAAGTTCGCAGACGGGTCTTGTCCGGCGAGGGACCGGAGGCCGGTGAAGGTGAAGAAGGTTCCGTCGACGCCTCCGGTGTTGTTCGGAGGGAGTACGAAGTCAGTGAGGATGTCGGGATCGGCAGCCATTGTAATGGTGGATGAGAAGATGGCTAGAAGTGAGAAAATTGCGAGAGTAGTTGATATTGCTGAAGCCATATTGGTTTGATAATGACTCTCTAGCTCCTTTTCTTTTTCTATTTTTTTTTTTATTTGGGTTTGAAGATAACTTGATAATTTGGGCTATTTATAAGATTGGGACAGCTAATCATAAGCCAATCAAGTTTCGATACAATGACGTTAATCTGGACTCTTTATGCAGGCGCTATGTGAGGTGGTTTGTGTGGATCGATGGAAACTACGATGTTGTTTTTTGTTATAGCCGTCTCGTTCGGTCCAAAGCAAGAATAATACTTCGCATCCTGCTGACTTGAGTTTTTAATTCGAGTTGAGATGTGATTTTATGTGAAGATTTTTTACTATAATAAAAAAGTTAAATTTCGTTTGGTTGGAGGATTCAAATCATGTGATTCGAACCATTTTCGATTTACGTGTATTTTTTTGAGAGAAAATACTGTAGTGAACCACGAATCATGATTCGAATCAGGGAACGAATCCCTCTACCAAACGCCATATTTTTTTATTGTAGCAAAACTCAAATTCTAAACTTCAATCGGTGAAATGAACAAAGCCTTCATTTCCTCTTAACCCCTTATTTGGTATTAGGTTCCAAGGTAGAATTAACATTATTATGAAGGAAAAAAGCTTAATAAGATTTTTTTTTTTTTTTTTTTACAGGACATATATTCCATAGCATAAAAAAGGAATATACAAACATCATTTCAAACTCTACAATAAACATCTGTATAAAAAATCAGATCTGCCTCTAAATTTTAATAAAATAGTCAAGGGGAAATATTGTCTATTGGACACCACAAATAGACGTGTAACGAGATAAGAAAAAGATCGAGAACAACGTGACTCTTTAACAAATATTCAATCAGCCGATATTAATAATCCTGTAGCATTATAAGGCCACACAAAACACCGCTAAGGAACAAATTTCCACGGATGAAGAATACGTCCAAACACTAACAAACACGACAAACAAACAAACAAACGAGTGGAGGTAAAAACCACCATTATTGTAAACTCAAACCAAACTAAAACACAAAGAGGAAAAACAACCAAAAATAAAAAAAAAAAATGATAAATCATCCCTTGTGCCTCGTAGCAACTCCGACTCCACCACCATCTTGGCCGTATCCCTTTGAGCTCATGCACGAAAATATACAAGATAGGGAGTTTAGTTGCACACCGAAAGACGGTGCCAGGACTCTAGCCAGAACGCTCATTTTCTTTTTATCTAATTAGAATGTACATTATTTATTCCAATATTAAGAAGATAAATTCCCTCTTCGTTTTTGAACTATAACACCTTCTTTTTTTTTTTTTCATTTTGGACACACTTGGAATTTCGTCCACAACATCAATTGATGGAGCAAATTGAGAATAATTTAAAAATTAGAAGGAAATATATGTTAGATTCTAAAATTCGGAAAGTATATTGTTACAAGCTCAAACTTCTGGAGGGAGATAAAAATATGCTATGTAAGGAAAATTTAGTCCACAAGCATGCACCATAACTACCTATGTTGTGTTCTTAGAGTGTTGTTAATTTCTTTTAATTAGATGGTCGAGCTAAGATCGGAATAAATCATTTTAAATTGAATTATTAGGGAATAAATTATATTGAGCAATAAGAAGAAATTAAAGATGCCCCCGTTCACTTCGCTGATTCGAGTTTAGAATTCGAGTTTTTCTACAGTAAAAAGCTCTCACAAACAATCACATCTAACTTTTTTACTACAGTAAAAAGCTCTCACATAAAGTCACATCTCAACTCGAATTCTAAACTCGAATCAGCGAAGTGAACGGGGCAGAATTAAGCAGAGCTGATCTGGAATAGCTCCAACTAAAGTCTTGGTTTGGGTTTTCCGTTTATAGTTTGGATTTAATGATGTTGGGTTTCGATTTTTCCAACCAAAGCGATATTGTAAAGAATATTCTCTAAAATATTTTGCTTTGGATAACCACAACAATTTTCTACTTTATTCTTCTACTATCCTATCCTATCCTATCATTGTGCTATTTTGGCATTTGCTGCCTTATTTTATTGTTTTCTTGTCATTTCATGATATGTTACTCTTAATCTTATTTCGTTAAATACTATTCTCCAATGTGAACTAGTTAAAACAATAGTATTGTAAAGAATGAAAATAGTTTCCATAACATATTCCTATAATTTTTGAAGCTCTTGATCAAAGCCTTTGTGTTAAGCACTTTCTTTGGACGTTGTTTCACCTCAATACATGGAAAGTCTGTCAATCTCTCAGTCTTCTCTTAGGATACCAGCTATAATCCCTCGACGTTGCATGACCTCCTTTCATGACAATACTTTTATAACAATTAAGCCCCCAACAAAAAATATCAAATCCTTCAATTTTCCTTCACGGTTTTGCTGCACCAGCAACTCAATTCTGCAAGTAGGGCTCCATGGCGAAAGCAGGTTTTCAAAATCCTTAACGTATGGCCGTTATAAGCGTAATTTCTTCCGGGTATATATATATTTTTTTCTTTGCAACTTTTGTTGATATATATATATATATATATATATATATATATGATATCACACGTTAAGTTTATATTATCTGGATGCAAATCACCTGTCAAATTTTAATGTTTAAAAAATGGTTTCAAACCAAAATTTAAAATATTTTTTAAATGATTTATCGTCTTTAATGTTTTAATCCATCAATTTATCCGATTCCGTTTAGAGTTTTATAATTATGCTTATGATTTTGGTCCAATATTAGTTTTCTATTTAACTGATAAAGCAAAATTAATCGTGCAAGGCACGCGCTCAATTTCAATCAACTGGTTCTGATCCGGTACTTGTCAAAGCAGAAGATGAATCGCCCGGCCCTGATTCAGTACTCGCCAAAGTTTCACATTTTGTCATTACTAGCTATAATTTTTTAAGGCCAGTTTCAATACTTCAAGTAATTATAGCAAATATGTGAGTAAACATTTACAGAAAATTGAGAAAAAAATTAAAAAAAAAATTCCAATATATGTTTGAAGTGCAAGAAATTAACTTCTCGTTCTCTAATTTTTTTTTTTTTTTTTTTTTGTATCCTTTTTTGGCAGATGTTTGTTTGCAAGTGTGTTGGTTGAGAATCCACAGTTGTTTAAATTGTCTGTGTTATTAAAGGCATTCCCGGGCCTACTGGCTATGATTTTTGCGAACGCTTACTATGCTGGAATCAATCAGATTTACGACGTAGATATTGACAAGTACGTTTTTCAAATATATAAATTGACATCTTTAATATATATTAATTAAACTAATTATCTGTCAGGTCTGGCTGATCTATAGAAACGCATGCAATAAAGTTTTCCGAATAACCATTTTTCATGTATAATCTGTACAAGAAAACGAAAATCAGGGGCAAAAATTGTCTCTTAAAATTCAAAATTTTGTTCCTAAAACATTTTACAGGTAATTTTTTTCTCCTGTTGCTTGTCTCTTTATAAACTTTGTGGCTAAAAAAAAAAAAAAAAAAAAAAAAAAGACACCAATAGTGTTTGTCTCAAAATCTTTCACAATGGGAGACTAAAAACTTCGTCTCTAAACCTTACTTGTATCTAAAGTTTTTTATACTATAAGAAGACCATTTAAAATACGTTAATGCAAAGGGATTTTTCATTTTGTTTTTGTTTTTGTTTTTTTTTACTATTTTGTTGAACTGCCGGCAAAACTCATTTTATTATAAGCTTTTCTAATATTATACTTTCAGGGTGAACAAACCTTATTTACCTATAGCAGCAGGGAATCTTTCAGTAAAACAAGCATGGTACTTGATGATATTTTATGTGCTTGCTGGCCTATTGATTTTGTGGTTGATGAATGCCGACACAATCACTACTTCGCTCTATTGTTTTGGCCTTTTTCTGGCGACCTTCTATTCTGCTCCTCCTTTTAGATTCAAGATATCTTCACTTGCGACAGCTATAGTCCTTCCTTTGGTATCTATTACTTTCTTCCCATCATCTAAAATCTTTTTATAAAATAGTGTATAAGCATATTAATTTTATTCTGTTTTTGGAAATCTAGTTTTGCTGTGAAAACATAAAAATGTCTCGAATAAGTCCATATAATTTGAAAATTCTGGAAACAACTTAAAATGATACCCCCTAATTTATACTAATATTACAGTGATAAATATCCATTAAAAAACTTAATTATAATTAAGCCACTTCTTAACTCTGTTAAGTTTTTAAGTGAAATGACGAAAATACTAGATAATAAAAAATGTCTCCTGCGGCCAACTTCTTTGATCCAGTGTTAGGCCTGGGTCAAACCACATAGGGGTACGAAATGGGCCAGCCCAAACATACGGATTGAGCTTGTCCGACCCGTATATTTTTCTTGATAATAAAAAATGAGAAATAGTAGAAAATATGCCAATATGAAAAATTTAAGAAAGTATATAGGCCAATTTTTAGTTATATAAATTAATAGGCCATAACTTATCAAGTTATGGTTCATAACCAGATAAGTTATGAATAAATTTGTCAAGTTATGGTTTATAGCCAAACAAGTTATGGATAATTATGGATAATAACTTGTCAAGTTATGATTCATAACCATACTAGTTATGGACGAAAACAGTAATTTAGCCTATTTATTAACTTATGTAAACTATTGGCCTATTAATTTTAATTCATCTCAAGTCTTTGCCTATTTTTCACTTTCTCCATAAAAAATGTGTATAAAACATGCGGACCTACCTGGCCCATATATGGCCCGTCGTCTGTTTATTATCGAGGAAAGAAGATAAATACCTTTTAAAAATATATGGTTTAGAAATTTTACTTCTTACTCTCAATTAATAAGTTTTTTAGTTAAATAACTATATTAATAAAAGGGTATTAATAAAAAATGAGGAGTAAAAATTCAGACTCATATCCTCGATAAATTCTGTAACTTAAATTGATTTCTCACATGACACCTTATAATTAGAGAAGCAGAAGTGAACTTTATTCTAAAAGTAGGAGACATAATTTGTCTTAGTTCTAATTTTTTAAATATGGATAGCATTACTTGGCTACACTAGCCGTCCAAAAAGGGGGAAAAAAGATGATAATTTGATATATAACAAAAGCAACTTTTGCAGAATGCTGGTTTCATTCAAATTCTTGGTATACTTTACACCACCAGAGTTTCCCTTGGACTTCCGTTTTTGTGGAGGTACGTGTAACAATTTTTCAAAACAAAACTTTTCTTTGAAATGTGTCCTTCTCTTTGCTCGTCATAATTAATACTTAATGACTAAGAATTTTAGAGAACTTACTCATTGAGTGAATAAAACAGACAACATCTTTATCATAATTAGTCATCTTAGTTGATATTAATTGTTGTGACTTATGAGAGACAAGATTATACACAATCAATTTAGTCATAGGGAGTGTATTCGTTTGTAGATTGGCATTTATACTTAGAATATATAATTTTAATATATAATCCCACTATAATTTTCACTGAACTTTTTTCAAAATTTAATTTATTATAAAGTAATTTACTGCAGTTGATCACCATGATGCATAATTTGTTTCTGGACAATTATAAAATCAGTAGACGTCATGATATGATACAAGCTTGATAATGATTTTATTTTTTGTATAAAAATGAAAATGAAAACGTTTTCAATCTCAGACAGAAATCATTTTTGAAAATGTGTTTATTAGTTTTATTAAGAGATTGTTTTCAGTATAAAAAAACCCATTAATGTCTCTCTCTTTCTCTCTGCTCGGGAGAGGAGAAAATGAAAACAAAAAATAAAACTTTTCATTTCTCTCTCATTTTACACTAAACTAAAAAATTATTTTCATTTCCGTTTTTTATTTTTATTGCGTCAAACGTCGTTTTAGAAACGTTTCATTTTTTCTTTCTCGAAAAACATGAAAAATAAAAACGGGATCAATTCCAAACGCAACTATTATAAAGCAAAACTCATGAACACCAACTAATTGAAACAACTAGATTAGGGTTCTATATTTTCTTCATGAATAAACTAATGCATTTGTTGAGGACTATCCAAATTATTTGTATAATACTTATAGCCTACTGAGTATAAATTCTGCTATTTTTTAAGCTCATGCGTAAATAGTCATAGAAATCTGATGTTTGGCATTCAATTTGCTCTGCAGCCCCCAAATTGTTTTCTTCCTTACCTTTGTTCCAGTGTTTTATCTGGTCATTAGCTTCGTAAAAGATATCATAGACGTGGAAGGTGATATGAAGTAAGTTGTAATTGTTATATATGTATCATCACATTTATTGAAGTCAAAATCTCAAAGGTTTCATTTTTACCAGTCTTTATAAATATTTTGTAGCCTATGTTTTCATTATCATTTAAAATAATAGTTAATAATATTGCAGGTATAACATACGAACATTTGCCGCAATATTTGGTCCTAGAATAACTATATTCCTTGGCACTGGAATTCTATTGGTAAATTATATTCGCGCTATAGCTCTTGCCATTTACATGCCTCAGGTGAGCAGTTACATGTGTACTTTTTATTTAGAAAATATTTGCATAAATATCTGAAAACTTAGACTTCTGCTTTTTTTTTTTTTTAAAAGTGTGTAAATTTGCCTCCTTTTATTTTTTCCCCATTTTTTAGTAATTTATTTACCCAAGTAGATCACTGAATTTACCCTGAATAAACCAAATAAAATCATAAATTTTCCAAGTACATGATTATTACCTATACACAAAAAAAAAAAAAAAAAAAAAAAAAAAAAAATAGATTTTTACCTAAAAAAAAAAAAAAAAAAAAAAAAAAAAAAAAAACAGAGATATAAACCAAAACGAAAAAGATTTTTACAAATATTTTTTTTGAAAAGATTTCATCATGGTCTAACTCTCTCTCTCTCCCTCCTCCCTCCTTTTTTAACTTCTTCCCCCTAACTAGTCCTTATTTATTTGTGTGGATAATAAGAACTAATATAAAAGTTGTTTCTATTTTTGTTTCCAGGCTTTCAAGCTTCATATAATGGTGCCCGCTCACTCACTCCTAGCATTGTGGTTAATTTTTGAGGTTTGTCACACTCAAATCAAAAAAAAAAAAAAAAAAAAAAAAAAAAAAAAAAAAAAAGAGATAGAGAAAGCAATGTAAAAGTAAAAGTAAGAACCCTCTTATAAAATTTTCATTTTGTGTGTGTTTCAGGCTAAAATGGCGGAAAAAGCAAATTATACCAAGGTAATAATATAGAGCTTCTACTCAAGTACATGCTGCCATTATGAGTATTGAATTATTATATAGAGCATTTCTGTGTGTCTTGTTGGGGTTAAATCTTTATGAGACACAAATATGGACGAAAATTTCTCTGATATTACCGAAATTTCCGTAAATCTAAGATCCCGAAATATTTTTTGATGCAAAAAAATTGCTCCAATATTTACCGAAATTTACCAAAATTTATGTATCTTTTTTTTGTTTATGATATTCTAAGATATTAAAAAGAAACATTATGTGTTAAAATAAAATTCCAGTTTCCATAATTTTTTTTCGATATTTCCATCGACATTGATATTTTTTTCAAAAATTCTTTGAATTTGGAGCACCGATACTAATATTTTCATCCTCGGACACAAAAGGTGAGTTTCACTAGTTGGGTTCAGATGAGTCCCACCATGTGATATCCACCTCTCGTGTCTATGAGGATGTACCCCCTCATGATATAAACATTTTTCTATTATATATACTAATTGCAAGTGTGACTTATATATGCAGGTCGCAAGCGCCATGTTCTACAAAACCGTTTGGAAGCTTCTTATATTGGAGTTTTTCTTATTTCCTTTCATATAGCAAATGACTACAAGTTAATAGTTTTCCCCTAATCTATATTATAGAGAATTCGTAATGACATGGAACGTCCATTTGATTATTTGTACACGTCAAAACTCTACAAGTGGTTCGTCAAATAAATAAATAAATAAAAACTATTGTTGAAAAAGATAAACTTGGTCATGATCAATAACCTTCTACCTCTATAAATATGATAGTATAGGCGCCAAGACACATTTTTCCTTTCCCCTAGTTCATGTATTATGAAGTGATCAAAAGCTAGTTGGCGTCTTTTTGTGCATTTGAAGGAGGCTCTTCGTGATGTGTTGCCATGGAAGCTAGTAGAAATTGAAGAAATGACAACGCTTTTCTTAATCGTGTTAGAAGTTTTCGCGACACTTTAAAAACGTCATTAAGTCTAATGTTGTATATGTTTGTGGAGGAATTATTCAGTAAACTGGGTGTACGACGTCATATTACTTATGTGGTACACCCGTCCAATAAGATTGTACCATTTGGGCACTCGTCCAATGAGATTGTATAATTTGGACATTTTGTCTATATCAGCTTTTCACTTTTATTTTTCTCTTTCCTTAATAGGTATTCAAATGGTACAATTTCATTGGACGGGTGTCCAAATGGTACAATCTCATTAGACGGGTGTATCACATAAATATTATGACGTAGTACACCCGGTGTACTGAATAATTTCTCATGTTTGTGACCTATGTCAACCATTTAAAAACATCATTCAATGTGCGCATGGCACGCTGAAAAGGTCTGAAGCAACATATTTAGCGAGAGTTTTCGTAGGAACCGCCATGAAACATGCAACATTTATATTGGTTTCCACAAAACTGCCGTCTAATGTAAGATAATTGACAACGATTCTTTAGGAAACGGGCCACTTTTCTCGCAGGTAGCATGTATCCCATTTGTTAAGTTGGTCTCATATTATGCATATTTTTATCACACAAAATTATATTACAGACTGTAAGAACAATGTTAATTTTAAATTTAAACAATTACGACAGTCGAATATGAGACCAACTTATATTTTCGAATATTACGACAATCAAAATTGTATTTTCGCCATGATTGCTACAACACTCTTAAAATGTAAAACTTATTTCTAGTACTTTGTTATTAAATTTTATATATTAGTAACAAATATTGCTACATATGTGTCTTAGGAGAGTTGAATGTCGTTTTTCTCCCGCTTGTAACTTCCATTCATATAGCGTCTAATTGATTGATCAAAAATCACTAGCTCGGAGAAATAATATAAATTGGGAGTAATTATAGTTTGGAATAAAAATGTCGTTGAGAGATCTTTAAGATGACATTTACGTGTCAAAAGTCGTATTATATAACATTTTACTACATCAATGAGAAAGATGTCGTAGAATTTCATTTTAGTGATTAAAGAAAAGAATAATTAAGATCGATAAACACTTAGTAATATAACATTTTCAGCAAGCTTCTCCTTCATCTTAAGATAAGATCAATTATTATTACAAGTAACATTATACTCTTATAACAAATTCACGCGTACATATTATAGCCTTAAAGATCAGCCACATAAAAAGCAAAGAGATAATACATATTGACGTTAAAAAAACAAAATGTACTCTACGTCGGAGAAAAAAATGACATTAAAAAAATTGACATGTCTTGATAAAGGTACCAAAACTGAAAATTATAATAAGCTTCGGGCTAATTTGAAATTTGAAATTAACCCATTAATTTTTAATTCCACTGGTTGCCATTGTCATCACTTATTCATTTAAAAAAGAACCAAAAAAAAAAAGTGAGTAGGGAATTACCGATCATTTATGTTCATTTCAGCGGACATTATATTCTCATATTTAAAACATGTCAGAGTCTGACAAAAACTTTTGTAGATTACACAGAGCTTTTTTTTTAAGGTGAACGGAAAAAAAAAAATAAAGAATTAATGCACGTATATATGAATGTGGACATGTATGTATCAACATCTTATTAATAAGGCCGGATACAGACCAAAGTCAATTCCAATGAATACTAAAGGTGCGTTTGATTGGTGAATTCGTGTCATGATTCAAATTATGGTTCGTGGTTCATTATAATATTTTTTCTCATAAAAAACACATGTAAATTAAAAATAATTTTGAATCATTATTCTGAATCTATGAACCAAACGTACACTAAATTAAAGAAGTCACAAACCTTTATTTAATTAATCCCAAATTAAAGAAGTCACAAACCTTTATTTAATTAATCCCAAGTCAAATTATTCTTATTTCAAACGAACTATAATGTCATCACGACTGAAAATTAATGGAGAGAGAGAGAGAGAGAGGAGAGAGATTGACATTCAACACACGTACATAGAAAATTAGTCAATGCAAAACCCAATAAAGCAGTAACATATCTCTTATGATAACTAGGGTTTGGGAGCGAGACCGGCCTTAAGCTTCTGAATGGTGGCAACATCAGTCTTGAAAGAGATAGCCAAAACGTCGTCGTCAATGCCGGTTGCGAACAAAGTGTTCGGAAGCGAAACCGTCCCGGCATTCGCACTCCCAAACGCCGAAACGGCAAAGGCCAGCCCCTTCGGATCAGCGTTGTACTGGAAGTGCACAAGCCCCTTTGGAAACACGAAAATGTCTCCGACTTGCAGTGACTGCGTGTAGAGCGTATTGTTGGTGTCGACGAAACCGACCTCCAGACAGCCTCCGACGACGAAGAGGAGCTCGGCGGAGCGGGGATGCGTGTGCGGCGGGTTGGTCTTCCCCGCCGGGTACTCGAGAACCGCGTACGAGACGCTTTGGCCGTTGAGGGCAGGGAACTCCGCCAAGCTTACTTTTGAGGCCGTGAATTTCGTGGGTGGTTTTGTTTCCTCAAAAAGGAAGCGCAGGCCAGTGTATGTAAAGAAACTTCCGGTTATGTTGGTTGATCCCAGGTTTTGAGGAACTATGAAGTCCGTAAGAATATTGGGATCTCCGGCCATTGTAATCCGCATTAGGGCAAATGAAGAGATTATAAGTAATGAGAAGAATGTGATGAAGGAAGTTTTCAAATTATAAGCCATTTTTTCTTCTTTTTTTTTTCTTTTTTTTTTTTTTGTGTGAGATTGGATATATGAGTGATCAATGTTGTGCTTGATTAGGTTCTTATATAGGGTGAGCATAGTCTTTAAGGCAATGAGTTCTTTTTTTTTTTTTTTGTTCTTTCAATTAAGCCTACTATGTATGTGATGATAATTACTACGTACATAAGGGAAAAACAATGTCATATTCTTGTTTACAGTTGTTCTTGAGTTGTTTGAGTTTGTCATTTAGCTGCCAAATTATAAATAAATAAATAAAAAAAAAAAACATCAACGTTAATGTTTTGCTTATATATCTTCGTCCTTGATTGTCAAAACAAATATATAATGATATGGAATACAAGCATATGCTTGATTGACCTCGCAGCTAACTCAACTCCATTTCTAAATCTAATTAACCTTGTTCCTTCCGTAAGGATTATAGTTAAATGAAAAAAAATTATTGTAACTTTGTTTAAAAAAAAAAAAAAGAACCTGAACTCAAGCGAATTGTTTGGATTTTTAATCCTATATTTTTATTGGAAAATATTATAAAATACAATATTTAACTTTATTTATCACATTAATTTTTGGCTGATTAAAGTCGAATTACACTATATTTGAATTCCGTTTGTTAACCTTGCGCTTAATTAACAGCGTGTTTGGTAGGGTGGAAAAGAGAGAGGAAAAATAATAGATGAAGGATTTTGTAGAGGAAAATAAAATTTTAAGTTGTTTGGTAGAGAGGAAATGAGGAAGGAATGAAAATGAAAATCCATGGGACCCACCAACTTTTCATCCTTCCAACTTTGGGAAGAAAAGATGAGGGAAAAAGTTTGACAAAAAATGAGATGTAAAATAACAATTTTAACATTTACCATTCATCATGTTTTTATTTGTATTGGAGTATTATTGTAAAATGCTTTAAATCTGACATTTTCTTTTCACTTTTTTTCTTCTACCAAACAACATGAGAGAAAACTATTTTACTTATCTTTCCTTCCTCTTTTCTAGATTCATTGGAGATTAACAATAGTTTATGTAAGAAGTTTCCGATAGAACTTATCTATGAGTTGGACATGAGATTTCATATTGACATATTCGAATAAAAATCAGATACAATTTTGTCAAATTAAGTATGTTGCGACGATGACAGAAGTTGATAACAAGGTTTCAATCTCAATTTAAAGTAGAGATCATCTGAAGCTGAAATCCAAATTTCAAATCAGTTCTTGTGGAGATCGACGCTAAACCAAATAGAATGTATTTAGACACTTTCGCATGTTAGGTTAATTTGCTTATTTAAATGAACACATAATGTTATTCACATTTTAGAGTTTTAGAGTGAGAGAAATTAAATGTAAACTATCTTCTCATCATAATTCAAAATTTAATAAAAAAAATTTGGTATGTTTCTCGCAACGCCTTTTTTTTTTCTTCCTTCATGAGTTTGTTTCTTTTTTTTTTTTCTTTTCTTTTTTGAACTTAAGGGTGGGGGATTCAAACTCTTTACCTTATTATGAAATCAAATGTGGAATTATTGTTAGGGTATGCATGCGACCAGTCCTTTTTTTAACCACATTAAAAAGCCATATGACGGTTTTCTTATTTTTCCATGGTTATTTAATTTAATGCATTAATTGCGAAATAATCGAACAAGCAATATAGGTATCCGACATCTAGTATTTAAATTGAATACCAACAATATAAATTATTAAATATAATGAAACAAATATTGATTCGAGAAACAATATATATTGTCTCATATACGAATTCAAAAACAGATAAAAATGCCAGACATTCTGCTGGCCACAAGCCAAAACATTAAAAAAAAAATGAAGAAGAAGAAGAAGAAGAGAGGAAAACAACAACAACAACAACAACAACATAAAAGAAATGGGAAAAAAAAAAAGGAAAAAAAAACCAAACCAAACCAATATTGATATCATCTTTTTCTATGATCTTCATATCTTATCAAAGAACTTTGATAATTAAGGTTCATATGCGACGATTAACTGACGCGCCGCGCGCAGGATTGCCTAATCTCCCCCTGCGGGTAAGTGAGAACACCCACACGTTGTAACTTCACCATGGCCTGCCAAAATTTCACGTTGAACTGTTTATAAGTATCTCTTGCTAATTCTACAACCGTACGTCTCGTTTCTTCGTTGAAAACTATGTCTTGGTCCACTTTAAGAATTCCTTTGTTCCAGTACAATGATTGCTTGTAAAATGAGTTGTCCACAATCGACGGAGTTCCCTGGTCCAAGCTAACTTGACCGGTTGGATTTCTAGCGCAGTACTCATTCAAACTTTCAACTAAATCTTGGTTCATCGTTGAGTCTGGTCTCCCGGTGTCATTGAAGTTCGAAAGACGATCCTCGATGACATTGCAATGTGTCACTCCGACGCTGTGACCGCCTGCATATGCATGCATGATCAATCGAGTACATTTACACATGTTTGAATAGATACAAGAGTGCGTCTACATGTGAACAATAGATAAGTTATATAGAGAAATGCTAATGCGTCAAACAGTGAATGCAAAAAATAAAAAAGAGTGTGACAGAAAAAGTGATACTATCATTTCTCATTTTATACACAGTTAAGTTACGTATATAATTGAAAAATAAGTTCTATTCTTATATATGATGGGGAAAAATGAGATCTTGTGACTAGTACGTAGTACTATCTAGCTATTTATTAGATATATATTAACTTTTTTATTTAATTTATTGATAGGTTACGAAAAGGGTGCCAACCTCGTTGTGATGTTTTTTTGCACCTTGATACTAGTTGGCTTCTCTCATCAGGTTGTTGAAAATTTTAATTTATTGAGTGTAGGGGGATTGGTGAGTGGTGGAGCTTCCTGGGTTCCAACTATATTAGAGATCATGATTTTTTATTTATTTATTTCTTTCTTTCTTTCTTTCTTTTCTTTGCTTCGAAAAATTTGAAAGTATATCCATCTTATCGCTAACTATAGTGACAAAATGCAAACGATGCACGTGCATGGGACGGCAATGTGAATGCACTTGCACATATCTAATATTTCTTTTCTGTATCTTTCAGAAGGGACATCCAATAAAATTATTTTTCAATATGACCCTGCTATATCTAACAACATTGTTCATATATATGATTTATCTAGCCCAAAAGGAGGGGAAAAAAAAAGATTAAACAACAATGGGATATAGGATTTGTATTTATGGCATGTACCAAGAAGATAAACCATGTCAGTGGCAGTGAGTCCCTTTTTCTGAAAGGCTTTAATGGAATTTGAGGCTGTTGCTGTTGGAGGTGGCAGATCAACGATATCGCTACCACGAGATACAATGCCATCTCTTCTCCCTGTTTCTACATCGTACCTAAATGGTTCCTCCCGCGAACTCTGCAATATATATATATATATATAATATGCACAAACAATCTGTTAGTAACAAGTTTAGAAGGAGACTAGTTGATATTGAAGCATGCATGCTCACTTGATAGGACTTGGCAATGTGTTTACTTCCATCTATCTTACTTGTCTAATTTTTTATATGTCAAATGATGTCTAACAAATCAAATTATGTTATGACATTTAATTATGAACTCAAACATTAAAACATGAAAATACATTTTTAACTCTTTTAAATGACGCTAGCATAATGTGATTAGTTAAACACTCTTTTAAGACATGGGCAAATAATTGGAGTCCGGCACAAATCATATTCTTATGATTAGTATAAATTAGGTTGAGAACCATTTTTTACAGTAGAGTGCATCTTTTGTAGCGATAAAATATTAAATAGGTGATTAGATTTTTTTTTTTTTCACAATCCACTTTCTCATTGCTATATAAATTCTAGAAAAAAAAGATACAAATCATTGTTTCTTTATTTCTTTTTTATTTTGGTTACTTTAATTCAATTTTGGATTACTGCTTTAGGAAAAAAAAAAAAAAAAGTAAACACACCCTTAAAGCTGCGAGTGAAATGGCATCCCTTGTAGCCATGGCAATGATGTCAGCACAAGAGACTATTCCAGGGCAAATTTTCTCTATCTCGTCCTTTATGTCGTCAATAAGATCGTATCCCCTCACGCTTAGATTTGGAGGTGCATTTTTCTCAGTCTCCGGCCCATCCAGTAGAATAGAAGCGTCGCAGCCCTTTTTAAGATAAAAAGAAAGTACTCTGCATATTAAAAGGAAACTATAGAGAATAGTAGATTTATGAAACTAAATTAAATAAATATCGACTAGTAAAAAGAAATTAATATCGACTCTTCCTTCACAAAATTTGAAATCCAAGGAGAATCAATATATTGGATACGTGATCAATAGATGTACGTATCTATATGCGTATTCTATCTTCATATATATTATAAGCCTTTTAAGAAGGAAGCATCTCAACTAAGTTGGAACACACCCAGCCAAACTTGGTGCGTTTGGAGCAAGGATCCGTACTATGGTTCGGATCATGATTTGTGATTCGCTACAGTGTTTTCTCTCACAAAAAAATACACATAAATCGAGAATGATTCTGAATCATGATTATTGTTGACGGTGAATTCTTATCAACAAAAACTAAGGCCGGTATAGAATCAAAGCTACATCCACTGTGGTTGTATATTTCTTTTGAGGGGATTACAATTCACATCAATTGTTCTCTTTTATTTGTGTACATCTTTGATTAATGCACAATACACCCCTCCAATAAATTCTTACACACATTCAACACTAAGGCCGATAATCCAACAGGAAACTCAGAGATAACCTGGCATGTTTTTGTTGACGAGAATTCACCGTCAACAATTATAAATAAATGAACCAAACGTACATTCAATAATGAACTTTTAGCTTTAATATTAAAATAAAAAAGAAAGTAGAATAATATTTTATATTCATATTCTAAGACATGCATGCTATGAAAATGAAAGAGTGGAGTTTATAAATTACAACTCTCCATATTTTGGTGAAATTAATGTGTGTGGATGATCATAGAAGAGAAAAACTCACGTAAACAAAGCAATCGTGGAACTGCAAACGAAGGAGAGCAGGGACGATGTTTCTGTACTTGGACGAATAATATGCATCGCGGACTTTATCAGCTACAATTCTCTCAACATCATATTTACGAGAAAAAATACCGAGAAAGCCTGATCTTTCGATGCATTTGTTTGCGTAGAATCCGACCTGTAAATCCTGTGCTGAGCAGTATTGGCTTGCGGCCAAACTCATGATCATCAAAATGATTCTCATCAATATTACATGATTAATATTAGCTGAGATAGACATTTTCTTAGTACGAATATTAATTCTTAGTGCTTGGAGTATATTTTGGACAAATGAAAGAAAAAAGTAGCATCCTTCTTCACTATTTATAATGTGAAAAACCAATTAGAATTCAAAAACCATGATTTTATTATTATTATTATTTTTTAGTTTTGATCTTTTGCAGAATGTATGACATATATATTGCTTTGCACGACCCTAGTTTGTCTCACTAATTAGCTGGCTATATATGTTGATTTTACAGTTGTATGGGAACGTGCAGATCAGTCGTGTGTAAAACTCTTCAATAACTTTTTTAAAAAAACCGAAAATATATATTTTGGAAATTAAGATCTACAAGTAATTCCGACAAGGATCTTATAACGATTAAAACGGACAATATATTAATACTTTTTTTATATAAGACAATATATTAATACTACGATCTACCTAATTGCATTTTTTCCCAACAAATGTGGCAATTAATATAGATTAATTCTTAATCTTTTTTTTTCCCTTAGAATAATTCTTAATCTATTAATAGAAAGTGGTATCTCGCCAATCTAAGGTACTAACAATTAAATTAACACATCACTCATTTTTTAAAACTATATGATTTTGAATAAAAGGCAATGACTATTCATAATTAACCGCTCTCCTCTGAATAATTTCTTTACAATATTTGAAACATACATAGATGCAAGGACCTTTTGGTGGTTACGATCGATTTGATATGGCATCTCAAATATTGTTCTTTAATCTTTGTATATGGCTTATATGGTACTTAGAAACCATACCATGATACGAACGCCTTGAGTAAGTTTGTCTCCGTATAAGGGCATAATTGTTAACAAAAAAAACTCTTACAAGTACTTTCTTTTTTAGTCAAAAACTCTTACAAGTTTTTTTTTTTTTTTTCCAAAAGTATACCCTGCAGTTGAGGTAATTATCAAAATATCTTTTCGTTATTAGGACTACATCACATTTATACCTCTAGTACACTTTAAAAAAAAAAAAAAAAAAACAAGATATGATTTTTGGATAACTTTAAAATTCAGAGTATAAAAATTTAAATAAAAAAAAAAACTTAATTAAATAATATGAATATATGATTAATTATTTTTCGCTAGTTTCTAGATAGCCCATTTATAAATTCTTTTCTTTTATGTTGATTAATTAGATTTGTAAGGGTATATTTGGCGCTAATTCATATTGTAATATATTGCATTTGTGCCGTATTTTATTATACTTTATATTGTATAATTTTGTTACATTATGGTGTTTATGTTAGGAAATTATGTTTCTTATTATTAATGTGGGCACATATCTTAATTAATAATTATATTGTGCTATTTAATTAATGAACTAATAAAGTGGTCTAATTAGGATAGACTAGTCTCCTAACAGGGGTATGGACCAATTGGGTGAATACCCAATTAGATTTAATGAGTGCATACCAAATACTGATCCAATTATGTTTAATGGGTGCCTACTGGTTCAGTACGTAAGGACATTTAGGTTATGGTCCCCAATACATCAAGTCATTCAGTCATTTTCTCTCTTCCCCATCTAGAGAAAAAGCGCCCCATTCAGGACTTTGGAGATTTAACTGAGGAAAACAATAACCGGTTCGTCAGTCATCATAGATATTCCACTAAAGTGTTGATAGTCGCTACTATAGATTCAGATTCACTTCCTCAATACTATCTTAGTAATTTGACATAATGATTCTTGGGATTTATGAACATGGTGGTTAAATCATATTTATAATTAAAGTCTAACCGTTAAATCTTATATCGTATTAAGATAATGTATTACGTTATACCATGTTTATTTATCCATTATATTCTATTATATTAGTAAAATTTACAGAAAAGATAAAATTTAATTAGCATTGACCCCAGCATCGCTCGACAAACACCTAGATCCCAACCGATCCTGAGCTAGATCAAAACCTGGGTCTGAGATCAGGATCTACTTCTAGGGTTTGTGACAAGCACTTAGTTCAGGGTCTGAAATTATGTGAGATTAAGGATGAAATTATAAGAAATCCATCATGTACAACTAATCAGAGTAAATTAGGGGAGTTAAGAGAGTTCATTTTCATTTTATAAAAGTTTAAGATCAGGGGCTAACGAGAGAGAGAGAGAGAGAGAGAGAAGTTCATGGATGTGCGCATGATGAATAATTAGCATTTTGGTCTATGACTAATACTTCAAAGCTTGTGTAGGGTAAAGTGCTAAAGTACTTCTCAGCAGCTAATAAACCGATTTCCACATCTTAAAATCTATAATTTAATACTCTTTTCGCTATTTTTTTGATCTATTTAATGCTTAAGGTTATCCAGTTTATATATGGAAAAAAGTACTTTGCCACTTAATTTAGCTATTTTTATCGAAATCTATCAAGAAGATATTTAAGCTGTATTTGTGTATGAAAAAATAATGATGTATATATCTGTTTGTGCACAAAAATAAATTAAATTATATATAGATTGATATCGTAACATTAAATTTAATTGACAAACCAACAAATAATAATTCCAAAATATACTATTATGGGTGACCCTAAAGAATATATGAAAACAATGAAGACACAAAGCACAATATAATTTAGAGAAAAAAAGGAAGAATATTTTTAATATTTATATGATCGCTTATTAACGTAATCAACTGAAATTGACTCGTCCGCATGTAGTTCTGATCTCTCCTTGATCTTCAGTGGTCTTTACGCCGACTTCTCCGAGCTTCGCCATGGCCTGCCCGAATCGAACGGCGAAATCGAAACCTTTGGCGGCGATTTCGATGACCGTCTTGTTAGTCAGTCCACTGGTAAATAAATCTTGGTCGATCTGAAGAATTCCTCTTTTGGTTGAGATTTGGTCGAAGTAGGACTTGTCGACGGCCATTGGAGTTCCTTGATCAAGAGCAACGGGGTTGTTGCTGCCACTCCCATCTTGAGGACACCTTGCCTGCAAAGCTCTTCTAAGATCTGCATCCATTGGTTCATCAGCTCTGTACAGACGATCTTGGAAGAAACCGCAATGTGTCATTCCAACAGTGTGAGCTCCTGCAAAAAAAAAAACAAACAAACAAAAAAAATGTATCATATAATTTTAGGTATACGTTTAATTTATAAGTTCAAAATCATGGTTCGTAATTCTGATTTTTAAAATTTAAATTTTTTTGAGAGAAAAACACTATAACAGAATCAAGAACCATAATCCTAAATTAAGTAGAACTCTTAAACAAACGTCACCATAGTTAACAATACTAATTAATGGTCAAGTTCAATTTTGTCATATAATTGATATTTCGCAAAGTTATATTTACGTGAGTTAACTGTGAAGTTGTGGAGTTTTATTATTGTCTTGATTATTATTGTTTTAGATAAAGACAATATAAATTGATGAGAGCTGAGTGGTGTGTAATTTTCTCTTGTAAATTTCTTTTTTACTACATTAGTGAATTTTTATAACAACTGAAAGTATTAGATATATGTCTCACAATAAAAGTGAACTACTATTAATTTTATGTTTTTAATTTTTTTGTTTTTTGTTTTTTGTAATTTTATTACTCTTGATAATATTAATATAAAATTAAAGTGTCTAATTCTTAATACTTTGATTGTTATAAAGTATGAAAAATTAATCTAGTACGATTTTTTTTTTTAGATATCACAATGTCACTGTTAAGAAATTAGTCTTTATGTTATCGTAAGAAAGACCATATATGTTTATATATATAAACTTATTTTTAATGGTACGTTTTTAATTATATGGGTGCGGTTTTAATGGTTACTGTAAGATCTATTTTTTTAAATTAATGCGTATGCTTACCAAGAAGAAGAACCATTTCAGTTTCACTGAGTCCCTTCAGCTTGAATTTGTCAATGGATTGGGACACTGATATTGTAGAAGATGGCAAGTCGACATTACTAGCAAGAGATACAAAGCCATCCTTTCTTCCCGTCTTTACAGGGGACCTCAGTTTTTCCCTCTGCAGTTCCATAGAGGCTCAATAATATTATATATCATGCATTATATATATCACATATATATATACATATATTCTTTATTGTTATGGTCTTTCACTTTCAACGTAATATACATGAATGATAAACGTACATCATGATAATTTTAAACATAATACTGATATAATTAGAAAGTAATATCAAGGAATTTAATTCTTTTAGATTACTGTTATTTATTTTCATTGTTTTCGCTGTGGAATAAATATCATGTTGAATATAATGTGTAAATGTATATGTAATAAGGAGTTGAGAGTAGATGATAGAGATGTAAATTTAGAACGAATCGGGCTGGTCTGAAACCTTTTACTATCAGTCCGGTTTCGAAATGGACCACTTAAGTATCCAAATCAAACCAGATTAGGCCGATGTTTCAAATCAAAAAACAATAATTTATTCGGGCCAGCCCGGCTCAACCTACTCTCTAGATGGTAGTATGGGAATTGGAACATTACGCTGGCCAAGGCTACGGCATCTCTAGTAGCCAAAGCAATGATATCAGCACAGGAGACAACTCCAGGGCAAATTCTCTCCAAAACCTTTTTGATCCGCTCAATAACATCATAACCTCGCACGCTTTGATTTGCTCCAGCTTCTTTCTCGCTGCCGGTACCGTCCAGTAGAATCGAGGCGTCACATCCCTTTGCAAAAGTCGAAAGTGAGAGAAAAGAAAAAGAAAAAGAATTAAATGAAAGATGTGTATATATATATATATATAGGTCGAAGTGATTAAATGAACGTTTGGTTCATGAATTCAGAAATATTCTCGTTTTACGTGTATTTTTTGTGAGAGAAAAATACTGTAGAGAATCATAAATCATGATTCAGAATCAGAGACGAATACAGAAAATAAGCATCCCATAAAAGTGTTAATAGAATATGTAAAACCAACTATTAAAGAGAATAAATTTATGAATCACATAGTTTAGTGTAGTGATTGTAGTTTGGTGCTTCCAATGAGGCTGTAATGATATGGGGTCTTGGCATATGGATATTATTGCTTAACCTAATGTACAACTCTTCTAGTTTCTTTTAAAACTATAATGTTTTTTTTTTCTCTCGTTTTTCAGTTGTTTTTGTCTTGTTCCTTTGCCTCACTTGGATTCTTAATCTTGTATTTATTTAAATTTAAAAAAAAAAGCCTCTCAAAACATTTCCATGTAAAAATCAAATACAACCCATATAAAAGAGAAAGATGCTACATAATAATTTTAAGTAAAAGTGACAGTTTGAATTTAGCTAAATATACATTAAAAATGCTATTTTGCATGAGGAAAAGTGTGCAAAAAATCAAACCGAGCATATATAT